CTCCTCGATGTCGCCCACTCACTGACGAACAGCTCGCCACTTCCCATTCAGGTTCCACTCGAGCAATGGATTGTCATGTGTTGTCACTTGATGGTTTGTTTTCTCAGAGTATGGCCAATCCACCTCAATTTCTTCTTGCATATTTGTTGCACAATCAATTCCTCGATGGTTTGCTCCCAGAGACCCCCATTGCACATCTTTACTGGCCGGCCATCTGATCTTGAGTAGTACTGAGCGAAGACAGCTGTTGATGAAGGTCTGTAGTTTATTCCAAGTACCCTTCATGACGCGACACCAAGTCTCTGATCCATATAGTAGCATTGAATTAACATTGAAGTTGAAAATCCAGATCTAATTTTTCATGCTGAATGCTGTCAATCTCCACACAGAATTGAGAGTATTTAAAGCTTCCCTTGCTTTTCCGATCCTCTGTTTCGTATCCTCATCAGTCTCGTCCGCTTGTAGTTGAAATCATGCTTCTCAAGTAGGTAGGTCTGTAAAGGAGGATGCTTCTCCCCCAGACTCCTCCTATTTATGCTGACTGTTGTCTGTTGTTGTTGTTGTTGTTGCTGTTGGCCAGTAATCTTCATCACCTCTGTCTTCTCTATATTCACGTGAATGAAAGTCCTAGCTTTGACGCTTCTTCTGCGAACTTTTTGCTTTTCACTTGCATATCTATCCGCATATAACTTTTGGAATTTTGATGACAATGATTCAATCTTTCTTTAAAAAACATTAATTTTATCAGCAAGAATAACTCTTTCATCATTATTGATATATATAACTGTAGAAACTGATAAAAAAGTAATCGAAATGAATATTCTTTGTTTAGTAATCACTCTAAGGTGCGAACCATGAAGTTTATGAAAAGATACTTACAATATGTACTGACTTTGCACGAGAATGACTAGTTTCAAACTAATTAAAATTACTTCCACCGCTTCACAGGATTAAAGAAATAGTCATATACAATTCACGTTGTTCTCCTCTAAGGCTTCTGCTGGTGATTTATGTGCGCCGGTGGCACAGTGGTTAGGACACTCGCCGACTATACATATTATGGTCCGAGGTTCGATCCCCTGCCGACGCACACCTGATATCTATAGTCAGCCTGCGAAATTCGGGCTACCAATATCCATGCTGAAAATTCCATACTTGTACCAAAAATACAGTGTGTGGAATCAAGCTGTCATCAAAAATAAAAAAATTATGTCTAATGTCACACCAACTCAAGGACCTACAGGTGAAAGCCAACAAGTTATCAGCAGAGGTAGTGAAGGCAAGACTTCAAATGGATGTAGAGAAGAGGGTGATGATGAAGATATCTAACCACCACCAGAATTCACCAAAACAGCAGTCGCTGTCAACGGAAGAAATTTAAACGAGATAAATTCTTTCAACTTATTTGGGTATTATCGTTCCGATTACAAGTGTCTACATGAATAAAGGTGTCGTCGAAGACAGGATAGAAAAAGCAGAAGAGATATTCATCACTCCTAAATGAGTTTAAAAATCTTCTGCAACTAGTATAAAGAACAAGACCCGGATTTTCAACGCTAATTTCAAGTCAATCAGTTCTTCTATACGGGCGACGGACTTGCCGTGCGTGTCACGAAATGCATTTCCAACAGGCTACTGTAAACTTTCACTAACAAATGCATTCTTTGGCTCCATTAATAACCATAAACTGTGTACGAACCAGTCAGGAACCTCTTGCTCAGCAAATATACCGAAGAGAAGGTAGATGGATTGGACACACTTTGAAAAGACTGCTAACTGACAATTACATTCCAGGGCAATGTCCAAGAGGAACTCGGGTGAAAGACGACGAGCTAGGCGTGTATTTGAGGGTGAATTGTAGGAGATTATAAGACTAGGGGATGAAAGCTTATACACAATGATGGGGCCAGCTTAGGCAGACTGCAAATAACAGGACAGAATAGAGATGCACTGCTGAAGTTGTGTGTCCCACTATGAACCCAATGGAATAACAATTACACAATTAAGGCTTTTTGCCAATAAGCCAATAAAATCATAAAATTTCTAGATTATTTTGAAGTTAGATTGTAGTCTGGTGGTGATGAAGTAAAATCGAGACAATACACCCGTAGAAAAGAAGCTTTTTGTTTCGTAATAAATATGATAGATAGGTCATATGAATTATTTTTTCACAATTACTACCACAGTAATTAATGAGCATTGTTTTGCGTAATTAACCTGCTGATAAGTTAAATTCTAAGAAAGCGAAGTAATAAAATACTTTTAAAACAGAAACAAGGCACAAGTGAGATAACAGAAGATAACGAAAAGTTCATCCATGATCAGCATAGTTGATCCATATTTTGTTTTTTCTATTTATTTAATTAACATAACTTCTTATCTCAGGTCACAGTGAGAAAATGGAATGTTAATACTTTTAAATATATTAACCTTGAAATAAGTTGTTATTATTATTTTTACTGCTTCGGGATAAAACTTGTAGTTTATCTGAGGATGTTAACGAAAAATCAAAAGATACACAAAGACCACTCGAAATTGTGTCTAATACCTTATTTACTCCGAACCGAAGTAGCTCTAAAACATTTGCATTCCCCAATGAATGAAAAGCAAACCGATATTACTGTTTTTACTGACGTTTCGCTGTTTAATGCTGCTAATAGCCTTAACAAAGTATTACTAAACCAGAATTTACAAAATCCACTCAGCTTATATATATAACAACTTAATCATCATTCCTCAGCACAGGGGGTGTTTTGGCCTTGCAAGCTGGCCAATTGGTAAAGATAACAAAACGAGGTGTAGATTCAAGTGTTGGTTTGTAGGGATTTGATTGGTTTCGGGATTTCATCATTTCATTACGCACTGCTGAAGAGTCCTAAACTAGGACGAAACAGCTGTCCACTACTCCCAGGTTTTCCAATGGTTCTCTAACTAATGTCAGCTCATAATGAAATCCTGAAACCAGGTGTAGATTGTTGGGTTTTATACATGTGTAAAATTATAAAAGCAGCGTGTGTTTACATAATGAAATCAGTTATCACATTCGTGTTGGATTTGCCATTTTGTAGGCGACAGGGGTGTTGTAACCAGGTTATATTTTGTTTTAGTCCATCATTCCCATTCAGATAATTTGGATTTTATTCAATATGTGGATTGCTTCTGATATTAGATGTTCTTTGTGATTTCTGAAATTTCTTTTCTGGATGATGATTTCAATATTGTTGAAATCAATTTGGTGACCTAATTCTATAGCTGAAGATTTTTGAAACTTTCTTAGTTCGACTGAATTTCTCTCTGGTCGAATAGATACTCTACGGTGTTCAATTCTTCTCATCTTGATTCCTCTCTGGCCATGTCGCATCACACTACAAGTATTTTATTTTATAGACACAATTATATAGAGAATCTTTAGGGATTTGGTAGTTTATATGGACAAGGTTGTTTCGCAGTGTGTCTGATGTTTCGAATAAAACTCTGATGTCGTGCTTTGTTGTCACGAGATTTAAACCTACATTTTATGAGGAATTACCTGAACTGCGCTAAGCTGAGTGAGTGACTGACTAGCAGACTGGTTTCAGTGTAGACCTTTACACAGAAGTGCAGCAGTTCAACTTGCCACACTCTATTTAGCACACAATAGAGACAAAGAGAAAGCGGAGATTAAAAAACAATATTAAGCAAGACTGTGTCGGTGAAAGAATAGTGAGATGGTAAAACATGACGGTTTAGTGAATATAGGAGAGTGTAGAGAGTCAGTATGTTTGTGCTATTGAGAGTGATTTTGAGCCATATCTCTAATAGTCTTAGGCCGTTGGTCCTTAGAGTCCCGAGCACCACAACCAAGGGACCTACATCTCCCTATGTATCTGGCTCAAACTAACTGTCAAAGACTTTATGGAATGATTCCATGTTTTGGTTTAACTACCACTAGCGTTTCTCCAACCTGACCGTATGCCAGCTGACATAACACAATACAACACAATAGTTAGACCTACGTAAAACATGTCCAGATCATGTCAATCAATATTGTTTCATAACTCAATCGACTAACTTTACCTCCTTAAGCAACATCCAATGCCTAACGTCAATATTTACTCACCCTTTTATACTACCTAACATTGGAGAAAGAAGGCAGATAGCTAGATAACATTTTCATATTTTCCACTTTCAATTTGTATGCTTCACACACACACACCAAGAGAGGAGAATGAAGCGAAATGCTGCACAGCACACAAGTCGTTTAGTCGATAGTCAGGAATAGCGTCTACGAGAGATAGATGGTAAAGTTGGTAAATTCCACACGAGCCTTTTATCTCACTAAATTGGGGCTGATAAGACTTACCAAATAAGTGAAGTGGTCAACACGTTTTACCAGTTTTTCTCTCCATCTTTAAGGTAGGAGTTGGTGTAGTTCAGTCCTGTGATGTCATCCTACATTTTATAACAGCAAATCAGGTGCTTGAAGTGTTAAGAAGACTCTACATTTTGTCAACACCTTCACCTAGCAGGACAGTGTCATCTACATACTCTAAGTCAACAAGACCATTGCCTGTCAATAAGTCAACTCCCAAGTCGATTGGGGTCGATTCCATCAGTAGATCGATCTATGATCAACATTAGGTAGAAATAGGGACAGTGAACAACCCTGATAACATCCTTGATTTTCACTACTCATTCTGTCTATGCTAGATATTATCAAATACGAGCAAGTATTTTTTCTTTTCAGCCCACCAAACAAATGAACTATTATGTTATTGTAATTGTATTCAAATGTTTACAATCCTAATGACGCTTTTTGCATATCTCTTTTCAAAATACTAATTACATTGTTTAAATTTGTTTCATTTCTTGACCAGGTTTTTCTTTTTTTGGTCAGTGTACAATAAGTCTGATTAGAATGAGAATTTGATTTCCTTTCGTTCTGTTATTATTATTATTTATTATTATAGCTTCATAATTATTAGAAGAATATAATAATTTAAACTACACAAAGAAAAGCAATGAAATCTTCTTATGGTTTGATTGTTCTCCTCTGTATTATTGTTCTATGCACTGGAGAAATTATGGATGAAGATGGTTTTAATCGACCAGGTTATGAAATGTACGCTAAACTGCCTCATACATCAGATGAAATATTAACAGATATTCTTCAAGGAAATAGTAAGTGTTATCATCGTCTTGCTATGTTAAAATGTCTCTTCTGTTGTGTTTCTATAGTCATTTTTTGTGGCTATCCAATGTCATGTGACCTTCATTTTAAAGTTTACTGTTGACTTTGCCATGTCAAGGTCATTTCAGGTGAAACACACATACCAGATAGGCAGAATTTCTTTCAGAGGTGAACGTGTGGTGCCGTTAGAGATCTTTCATAACAATTTCATTATGAAAACTAATAATGGTAATGATAATAATTCACAGTTGACACGTGCATTGTTGACTTCAGTGGATTTTCACATAGAAAAGTACTTTTTATATGTTTTTACTAGCTGATCACGGATTGATATCAGTTAGAGAACCATTGAAAACCAAGAAGTACTGGACGGCTGTTTGGGAATCATCGGCAGTACGCACCCACTGGGGTTCCAACCCAGGACCTTCCGGTTACAAGGCGAGCTGGTGCACCATTCAGCCACTGGGATTCGATTCAATGGTGGTGGCAATAATACAAACTCATTCAATAACTTTAAAAATAATTTTTAACTCTACATGTCTTATTGAGACAAGTTGAGCCGAATGAAGTGAGAATTTTGATGTAGTTGTTTTCTCTGAGATAGCTGGATGGTTTATTTGCGAAGCTTTCATTGCCTCCTACTCGGCAACATCTTCAGCGCATACTTCAGTTTGTTGAAGTGGGCTTTTAGATTCCTCCATGAGTTTATTAGTTGTCTCGCCTCGTGACCTTGAGAGTGATTGGTTGTTTTGTGTGTTTTCACACCCTCCGGAGCTACTTGTATTAGTACTGATTGTGTGAGATCTCCTTATTTTCGAGTGCTAAGTTTTGTCGATGTCATTGTGTCTACTGATTGACGATTCGCTGGAAAACGATCTCAGGCCAGTGAAAATTCTCTGGTATTCTTTGTGTTCCCTGTGTCTAATACTGAACGTTGGTTGTCACAGTCGAATTGATGTCAGCCGTTGTCTGTATGCAGTGAGGCGATATGAGCGAGGGAGTGGATGTCATGGAAGAACAAAGAGAAAGGTTATTATCCGTATTTCTCAACATATACCAAAGAACCTGAGACTAGAGGGCTTACAGGCATTAAACAGTGTGGTTGCAAAGCATCTAAAGGACACTGGTCATGTTGTGGACAATCTGAAGGTTTCCAGACCGTAGGTGTTATTAACTTCCTGGAATAATTTGAGCGCCGAGTCAGATTGATTCATTGTAAATTATTTAAATTAATCCCAGCGTGTTAAGAAAATCAAAACAAGATTTTTCTGAACGTTTCGCTGTGTAAGCCACAGCTTCTTCATCAGATTTATTCGAGATCCGAATAAATTCGAAGGTGTCCATAATAATCATCTGTGCCAATCGTCATCAAACAGTTAAAGCTAAATTTACACATGCAGAAAGAGATAGTGGTGAATCTTTCAATTTCTTAGTAATAACAACGTCATTTTCTGTCCTGTTTAGAAAATTTTATTGTTTCATCTGAAAAATGACTCACCCTATTCATCTTTCTTTTGCTATTTTAGAAAAACATATTTTCTGTAGTTGCGCAACCTATATTTTCTCTGGTCAAACTTCGTTTCTACCCAAAACAAAAATGTTGAACTCTGTCTTTTTGTTTCCAAGCACATCCGTTTATTATTATTATTCCCTTGCGTTCCAAGTGGAACATAAAGCTTCAACAACACATCTCCACTTTGTTATATTTTCTCCCATCCTCTTCAGTTGGCTGGCTCCACTACTGCCTATAATCTCTCATCTGCTCCTCTTCACACAATCTTCTCCATGTCACCCTCGCACCGACGACCCACTTGTCGCCTCCCATTAGGATTCCACTCAAGCAAAGACCAGTGTTGCGCCCAATGTCATTCGACTGCCTCCTCAAAGTATGCCAGATCCACCTACATTTTTTCCTAAATATTTATTGAACAATCGGTTCTCGATTGGTTAATCACCAGCCAAAGTTTCTTGTTGCTAGTTCTTCCTGACTGGACATTTGATCTTCAGTATGCAGCCAGCAAAGCTGACAGCTGTTTATAAAAGTCTGCAGCCTGTTGGAAAAATCGTTTTCGTGACAGACAGTGCGAGTTTCTGACTTGTGTAGAAGCACTGACTGATTGACTTCATGTTTGTGTTGAAAATACAAATCTCGTTCTTTATTCTGGTCGGCTGAATGCAGTGCAGAAGGTTTCCAAACTGATTTCAGATTGATGAAGACGTTTCTTACCACCCCTCTCCGATTCTGATTTTGACATCTTCATCCATTCCGGCTGCCTGGGGTTTGAGACCTTCCTAGCTGAAAAGATAAGTGAAAGAGGTAACCTCTGTGAAATCTCTCCTGATGATGATGATGATTGTTACTGGTTTTTGCTGCCATTGCTGTCGGTTGGCTGATTATTCTTATCACCCCCGTCTTCTCTTTGTTCACCTAAAGTCATATCTTAGCTGCCAGCCAGCCTCTTCTACCAGTTTGTTGATTTTTGCCTACAAGTCTTCGAGTTTGTGTGACAATAAACACACATCATCTACACAATATAGATGATTTGTGCTTATTTATGTCCATCTAATTATCCTGTAAATAGCCAGTCTTTTTCAACTCTTAACTATCTTATAACTTACATTACTCTAGAATTATAGTGTTACACTTGGGTCCCACAAATCACTCCTTATTATCACGAAAACAGTATGTTCAAATCTCTAATGTGATTTATATTTCTGTATTATTCAGGTTGTAGCCAGTTGATAAGAATTCTCGAAATAATAAAAGATGAGCTTAAATTATCCTGGTACATTTTTCAGTCATACTTTGCTCAAGTTTCATGAATAATTAACATCGAGACATTGATGAAAACAAAACCAGTAGTAGTTCAGTGAAGAGTCTCTTTTTGAAGGCGAATTCATTCACCCAGCTAGCTGTACAATCACAATTATATACACACTTATTTTTGTATGTGTGTGTACATTCAGTTTGTCCGATAAGAATAAAAATATGACAGGTTTATTGTTGTCAAGACATTGCGAAAATGCAAAAAGTAGTCAAATTGCGGGTGAAGATTGGTCCGCGGGTATTGATGATGTGTTGTCAAATAAAAGTTACCAACGTTAATTAACACATAAAAGTTGAATAACCGTAATACGATTACGCAATAAAATGAATGGTATAATGAGTGAGTTGTGATTAGAACGCACATAGAAACAAAGGAAAATATGCAATTATGTAAGAGTTCTGAAATTTACAAATGTTATAAGCAGTTAGACAAAAAAAATAGATATCGAGTTAGTAGAAGTTAACACGGTTGTTACCATGATAGTAGAATTGGTTGGATGATTTTCTTCTGTATGCATAACTCTGGTTATTTCCAGCTGAATGTCGAAGGCTTCAGCAATGCAGCCAGGAGACGAAAACATATTGACTGAAGTCCTGAAGCAGCTGAAGCAGAACCGAATCTTCTGAAAGAAACCTTCATCCAAAATGGATACCCACCAAGGTTCATTGACAAGAATATAAAAACAAAAGTCCAGAGGAACGAAATGCCACTTGTTTTAAAAAGATACTTTTCATGAATCTGGATTTCAAGGGAGACATAGCTGACGATATCCTCAAGAGAAGAATTTTGGCATCTTGAGAAAAAAAATTCTTCGTAACAATGGCAAGGGCAGTGGTCTTCAGTCCTCCATTGGTCTGCAAAAGCCTTAAGGACAAGATCTCTTATCTGGTTATTTCTATGCACATATATAAGTTCACCTATTGCTGTGGTACAAGGTGCATTGATCATTCGATGCATATCCTGTCCAAAAAGGCTCAAGAACACTTTCCCGCATGCCAACAAAAATGTAATACGAGCTGTTTAGGGAGTGAGATAATTGACCATCTCGTCAACACTGGTCATTCCATCTCAACAATTGCCTCCTGATCCAAAGTGATCTACACAGTGAAGAACAGTCTACCAAAGGCAATACTCTTTCTTCTTCTGGTTACATTTGCAAAGCCTTAGCCATTCACTCGGGAAAACTAGAGTTATACATACAAAAGGAAATCATCCAACCACCTTTACTATCAAGATGTTGACTCCTACTGACTTGATGTTTGTGTACTTGCTTTTTTTTGAAACTCCATACAACATTTGCAATTTTTAGGACTCTTACATACTTCGATATTATCCTTTGTTTCTTTGTGCATCCTAATCACAACCCATTCATTAAACTATTCATCTTATCACGTAACTGCATTACACTTATTAACCTTCTTTTATGCGCTAATTGATGTTTATAACTGTTGGTTACAGGATTTCATCACAAGCTGACATCAGTTAGAGAACCACTGGAAAATAAGCTGTCCAGTACTTCCAGCTTGTTTTCCAATGGTTCTCTAACTGATGTCAGCTCATGATGAAATCCTGTAACTAATCAATCGAATCCCTATAAATCAACACTTGAATGTTTATAACTATGCTTTCTTGCCAATGCATCACCACAACCTCCAGACCAATCTTCACCCTCACAACCTAGTTACAATTTGATTATTTGTCACATTTTTTGAAATGTCCTGACAATAATAACACTAGCATATTTTTATTCTCATCGAACAAACTTTATGCACACACATATACGAAAATAGGTGTGTATGTGTGTGTATATATATATATATATATAACTGCGATTGTACAGCTAGCTAATTGAATGAATTTGCCCGAACTACGTGTTTTGTTCAAGTTTATTGATGTGAAGGATTATATGAAATTTTTTTAGACCTAATGAATTCAATTTATTTAGTCAAAAAAGTCATAAATCTCATATAATGAAGTAGTTTATGTTTCTGAGTTCAGGCCGTTAGGTTATCTCAGACAGAGAAATAATAATAAAACTTGTTCCATTTCAATTTCATAAAATAATTCATTTTAAACAATCTGCTCCAAAGTACAACTTGAAAATGTTTGAGTTTGTTAGTGAATGACAATTTCGATTGCTATCCTGATGAAAATTTATCTAT